TAGCGGTTCTACCACCGAGAAACATAAGCGTTAACCTACTAAGAAAGTCTGAATCCGAATTAACTTGTCACATCAATCGACAATCCCTATGCATCATCAAAATCTCCACCGAGAAGTGTCATCTAGCCTTGAAATAAGGTGATGACTGTTGACTTTAGGTCAATGAATAAGATGGTTCGTTTCAAACGGTTCTAATCGTGAAAATAAAAGCAATACTCCGTCATGTTGCCATACCAACTTAACAATGTGGTGGTATCCGCGGTAAGATTTTTGAGATATGACGCCAAAAGTATACGTCCTTGAAATTTACAGTACTACTAACCAACTCTACGACACGAACAAAAAGGTCTTCACAGTTTCCTCGACACTCATAACAATCTAACAGTGAGCTACCATCCCGCATTTCGATTCTAATGTCTACCTATGGAAGTGATCGAGAGGTGGTTAGTCAAAGGGTTTTCGTTTACCTAGATAAGTGATAGGGTAAAAACAACAATCATGAGTTTACCGTTCTATTACAAAGCTTATTTCTAAGCTTCCACGATCCTAAGGCTCAAGCGAAGTAGTTCATTGATCCTAGGAGGATTTAATGATTGCTTTTCGGATTTCTACAACTCCCAGGATATGACAACTTACATTCGCAAGCCTATTCTCACCCATTTAATAAGTACAACTACGAAAGCAAAAATTTGGAATAACGTTGATTGAAAAATCTCAATGCTAGAAAAAGACCTTGCCTAAGATCTACTTTCAAAAAGACTTCATCGACAGTCGATCTTCCTCCTAAAGATCCAACATGAACCCAAGTATGCTTGAAGATATTAGTGCTAATAGGGACCGAACAATAATTATCCCTCAGATGATCTTCCGCGAAATGTTACTAAGAAATTAAGACTAACTAAGATTTCCATTCTTTAAAGAATCAATACTAACGGCGGTAGGAAAATGATAGAATTATTTGGTAATATCTCTGGCGATACATAATTATCAAAACATTTACTTAGGCCATCAACTTGCCTCACTTTTATACCTTTCCTCCACGAGGAAAATCTTCGTTTCAATTCTAAGGACAACCGCCAAAATGATTTTATAAAATGTCGTCAAGACCACAAAATTGTCCAAAACTGAAGAAAAGTTAACATATTTTTCCATATTCGATGAGGCGATAAAGTTCGAACGTCAAACACAAAAACCAAGAGTGCTCACATCACGCGTGTGATGAACACAATACTGCCCAACATATGCTCTGATACCAAACTGACACACCCCGACCCAGAAAGTCCACTTGGACCCTGAATCGAGCTGTGCTGGCCGACACCAGGAAGGTGACGAAGCCATAAAATGTGATAGTGCATAAAAAGTGAATAAATTTGAATCTAAAAGTGTCTAAATACCAGAGTGCGCTACGAGTGGGAGCGAACCCATTTCACGCGCGATGTCAGAGCATAAGTAAGGTACAGTAATGTGAGTAAGAATCATACCCTCAAAAATATCCATCAATACTAAGATTCGCCACAGATTTTTGTCGATACAAACTCAGCAGCTAAAACCTGGAGGGCACCAAAGAGAAGGTGTGAGTAAGCAATAAAACCAAGCTTCCCAAAGTTACTACCTCTCTAAAAGTAATGCCCCTAAATGTACAACCCGTATCGTTTTCCGTAAGACAGTACAACATATATACATATATCCAAACCATACTCGGAAATGACCAAAACCACGATTTGCCATCACATCCACCATACATTAATAAGTAGGCCAAATGAACTAAATCAATACAAAGTGATATATCAGTCATAGTCAGCTAAAATGACATGTACAACTTATCCGTATCTCATCAATCATGGCTAGCATATAAGTCGGAGTCACCTATAGTGACCTGTACGACTTATCCATATCTCATCATATAAGTCGGAGTCACCTATAGTGACCTGTACGACTTATCCATATCTCGTCAATTCTGGCTAGCATATAAGTCGGAGTCGCCTATAGTGACCTGTACGACTTATCCATATCTCATCATATAAGTCGGAGTCACCTATAGTGACCTGTACGACTTATCCATATCTCGTCAATCCTGGCTAGCACATAAGTCGGAGTCACGTATAGTTACCTGTACGACTTATCCATATCTCGTCAATTCTGGCTAGCATATAAGTCGGAGTCGCCTATAGTGACCTGTACGACTTATCCATATCTCATCAATTCTGGCTAGCATATAAGTCGGAGTCACGCATAGTGACCTGTACGACTTATCCATATCTCATCAATTCTGACTAGCATATAAGTCGGAGTCACTTATAGTGACCTGTACGACTTATCCACATCTCGTCAATCCTGGCTAGCATATAAGTCGGAGTCACGTATAGTGACCTGTACGACTTATCCATATCTCATCAATTCTGGCTAGCATATAAGTCGGAGTCACGTATAGTGACCTGTACGACTTATCCATATCTCATCAATTCTGGCTAGCATATAAGTCGGAGTCACGCATAGTGACCTGTACGACTTATCCATATCTCATCAATTCTGGCTAGCATATAAGTCGGAGTCACCTATAGTGACCTATACGACTTATCCATATCTCATCATAACATGTGCAACACATGGCAACCGGTACGACAGTATCGAAGTTGCCTAACTCATAACTGTAGTCATGCTAACTCAATCGATTCAATTAACACCATAAACTCACCTGAACTTACCTGGGTGTCCTGAGTTCACCTTTGCACTTGAAAGCATTCCCAATAATTATAAGCAAGTAATATACATAGGGATATATCATGATGCAATCTACTACTCAACCATGTCGTAGCATTTTCAATTATAAACAATATGGTGTGAAGTGTACAATCAATAACGCCATACTCCCAAACTACTTATTTTCAGGGATAATTATCCATAACAATCCAATTAACTCTAATTTAACTAACTAATTCACAAAACTAAAACTTGTCTTTACCAATTTCCTTCGCATCACTCAATTTCCCAAGCAAGGCTTTTGTCTCAATTATTTTATGGCTGCATCTAACGTCTCGTTAGACTGCCTACGTACCCTAAACAGGGATCAAGCCATTCGTAGTTCACATTGTACGTCAAGCATTCACAATAATTATATATGAAAGTAATATGCCTAATCAATTTAAAGGTGTCGATAGAACTCTCAATAATATGCACAATAAAAAGGAAAAGATCCACTCACCTGGAGTCCACGCTATACTACTCTAGCACGCGCATCGAGGCGTCCTGAATGATCGGTCCCTGTGGCCAATTATCAAATCACATCTCAGAACTCTTATCTGAAGAATATGCAATTCACATAAAACACAACCTCGACGACTTTCTAAAATAGGTTGAGACCTATTGACCACAAGTCAACCGTCGATCAAAGATCAACGGTAGGGTTTACAACCCTGTATAACCTGACCCGGAAGATCCGCATATCAGATTTCCAATCTGCAACTTCCAATGATCCACAATATGTTTCTAGAATAATATCTTAAAATTTCATTACGATCCAACGGTCAGATCTTCGCCAATTGCCTAAAACAAGTGGCCGTGAACATTTATTTTACTAACTTACAAATCCAATTCAGGAAGATCCGTAAGTCGGATTCCCGATCCGTAAATTCCTATGATCTTTAAATATTACGTATTATAATGTATCCAATTTTGGTGACGATCCAACGGTCGGATCATCGATTCACATTTTTATCAAGTAGCGTATTATAACGAATTTAGGTTCCAACGATCAACCTACGTCATTCAAATGACCAAACTGAATTCAAAACATTCGACATAGCCTAAAAATAGCATTGGCGGCTCACCGGCCACGCGCCGCCGCACGCGCCGCCGCGGGTGGCGGTCGGCCGCCCCGACTCGCCGGAAAATCCAACTAATTCCAAAAATTATCAAACTTCACAGAAATGAAGATCTCAGTGAGTGGAGCAACTTTCATACCTGCCACGAAGTCCAAAAGTGGACGGAAGATGGTCAATTTTGCCCACGAAGCCGGCGGGTGCCTAAAACTTCCCGACGTCGATTCGTCGTCTACGGTGGTCCAACGGGGTCAAGGTTGGTTGGGTTTTGCTCCTGGGATGATGGGCTACAAAGCCCAAGTGGTGGCATCGGCCATCGCTTTGCCGATTTGCCGGAAAATGGAGAAGGGTGGCCGGAGCACCATTGATTTTCGTCAACTTTCGTGGCCTCAAACCTCCACATCCCGTGGTCAATCAAGGTGGTTCTTGGGTGGGTTTTGTAGAGGGGAATGAGAGCTTCAAAATGGTGGTGGTGGCATCGAAAAACTCCACCGGAGTTGGCCGGAATCGGCCTTGGAAAATGGCCACCCGCGGTGGGTGCGGGTGGACGAAAACCCATTTCCCTTTTTTTTTTTCTTTTTTTTTTTTTTTCTTCTCCCTCCATTTCTGATTGGTCCTCCCCTTTAAATACACACTAACCTTGAATAACCGATTTCGAACGTCCGTAACTATACCGTTATAATCCGGACTCGCAAACGGCTTTCGCCTATACGTTCGTACCAATGAGTACTACGAGGATATGCTAAAAGAATAAGTCCCACATCTTTCAAGTCGATGGTCAACGGAAGTCAAAGTCCTTGCCTCTAGGGCAATTTCGTAAATTCACGCTTTTAAAATAAAATAAAAACGTAAAATTTGGAACGGGTTGTTACACATATACTTAACATGAAAATTCTTTTACTTCTCAAATATCTTTATAATTTTTCGTCGTCAGATTAGATGAATTAAAATCTAAAATTTATAAGAAATCTCTCCAAATCAATTAAACTACATAAAAATTCATTAAAAAATTTTAAATTCTGAATTGAATACTTGCGCCTAACACTCGACAATTCACCGTAAAAAAACAAAGCCATTATCCCTCATAAAAAATATGAACTATTATCCTTATTGCGATGTATTTAAACCGATCACAAACAATCCCATGACATCTCATAATATAATGAGGGCATAAACACATACAATTATCAAGAAGAACACAGAACCATTAACCCACTTCTCCACCGCCTTGACCCCGTTGATTTTTGGGTGAGTTTGGGTGGTGTTTGGAGGTGATGCAGAAGGTTTTGCCGAGAGGGAGAAGGGAGAGTTGCAAAGGGGGACAGATGGGTGGAGAGGCAGAGAGTTGTGAGGGATGAGAAAGAGTGACAGTATTGGAAGATGGAGGAGCCTGAGTGTAACGAGAGATTAAGTGAGGCGTGGGACACACCGACACAGAACCATTAACCCGATTCCGGAGATCCAGCTGGAGGGCAGTTTCGGTACAACAACGAAAAAAAAGGAAATAGGTGATGGAAACTGTAAAAAAGGGTATGGAAACGCGCATGATTGACATGCATTATTGAACCATTCAAAGGAAGGAAACTGGCCAGAAGGGAAGGAAAAGGGCACATGATGAGGGAACTGGGGCCCTGCTTGATGGGTTGTCAGCCATCCATGTGCAATTCCGATTGCATTATTTTGATCGGAAGACATTGTCGGCCATGTGCAATTCCAATTGCATTATTGTGAGGTCCATTTATGTAGGTAACCAATCAAATTTTTAAAATACACAATCATATTTATTATATTTTCATTAAATTTATTAAAAAATATTAAATGGATCTGACAGCAGCTGTCAAATTGATAGCAGAAGGATTTGTTTTCAATTGACTCATGACCACGTAGGAAATTGAAGACTCATTTAGAAAAAGTTTGCTGTCAATTTTTACTATTATATACTTATGTTGCAGTTTTGACATCTTCTTTAAAGATGCTCTTAGAGCATCTTCAAATGAGAAGTCAAATTTTAAACATAAAATTTAAATTTGACGACCTATGTGGTATTTTGACATCTTTCAAAATTTTGTTTTTCAACCGGTATATCAAATTAAATATTATTTTATTACACTATTTTCTTTTCTTTTTATTTTATTACACTGTTTCTTCAACCCAATTCATTTTATTACTTTTTGATCGGGCCACATTTATCTGCATTGTTAGTTGATCCAACAGTCCCCATTTTAAATTATTTAATTTTAAATTTTAAATTTATAAAAACATCAAATTTAACGAATAAGATCGAATATAATATATTCAACAGTAAAAAAAATATATATTTAACAGTCCAAAATTAAGAAACTGCAATTATATGCCTAGACCTAAAACTTTGGTCAACTTCTCAGGGTTCTAAATGGGTATTCAAAAAAAGGAACGATCGGTTCCAATGTAGCCATAGAAACTCAAATTTTTGTGACATTGTAGGAAGCCATCTATGCATATATAGGAATGATTCAAGTTGCCATAATCACTTACTATATTTCATATTTATATGTATATGTCTTCTTTTCAGAGTCTTTCTTGTAGTTTACTTATATGTGCACTCTGGCACGCTAAGTTTTAGCTGAACCCGCAAAAATTTTGAAAGAACCAAATTTAGTTTGGTTTGGAATAACCGATAAATAGACATGGACATAACGTTTTACGGATTTTGATCAAATATGTAACTTTTTCACTAAAGGGACAATGATGAGTTAGTGGGAGGGTTGCAATGGTGAGTTAGTGGGATGACTGCGATGATGAGTCAGATGGATTGGATGAGTGATAGAAATCAGAGGGCTTTTTTAATTCTTGTTGTTGAAAATACTAGTGGGTAATGAATGCCCACAGTATTGAATACCTGCCACAACATTGAAAACGTTGCCAAAGGGTTGAAAACCTTGGCAAAATATTGATATGTGGAGATCATTTGTCAAAGATGTGTGCTTGGAGTTGCTCTATAAATAGAGCACTCCGTATGCTTCGAAGAGAGAGCAGAAAAAAGAAAGAGAGGAAGAGAAGAGGAGAGAATACATAGAGTTATCTTTGTACTCCTATTTATAATAAAAGCATCATTGCTACCCGAGGACGTACTCCAGTCACACTGACTGTAGAGGAACCTCGTAAATTTTGTGTCTTTTTATTTATTCCACTGTACACACATAGTCGATTTTACAACACGTTATCAGCACGAAAAGCTCTTATGTCAGTGGAAAGCACAACGCCATAAATCCGATGAAGCACTATCCACCTCTCACCTCCGTCATCTAAAATCTCACAGAACAAAAGGTATGTCCATTTTTCGTCTCTCCCACTGCGCCAGAAGCGCCCCACCGAATTCCGGTGAGAATTGAAATTTACGACCTGAAGTCGTCACGAGATGAGAAAACTCGTACTTGACAACTGGTTTCCAGAGATCCAGAAGAATCTCATCAGACTTGGAAACCCAGATCACGTTGTTTTCAACGAATCTTGAGAACTCCCATGAATACTTGGTTGTTTGAGATGGTGATGGCAAGAATGAATCCACACAAGCCTCCCTCTCTTGTGCCTCTGTCAACCCCACTGTCATCTATGTCTCTGTAAGGAAGTTCTTGCTTAACGATGACATGTTCCCTGGGTCATGCAAGAACAACGCCAGTCTCTTGTAGCCTTTTGGATTGAATTGAATTTGGGCAACTTCCATAACTACCTAGCTGGCCCTGCGTTTTGAGACTGGTAGAGACAGAGAAAGAAGAAAAAAAAAAAAGGATGTTGACTGCAACATAAGAAAAATATATATATAAAAAATGATTTGAATAGTGCATGACACCATTTAGTCAAAATCATTTAAATGGTTTCTGTTGGTGCATGGCACCATGTTGCAGAAATCAAAAAAGTAACAATAGTAAACTTTGAATAAGTACTGACAAAAGAAAGAAAAATAATAAATAAAAGGAGATATGATACTTCTTGTTATTTATGTGAATTTGTGTTGGTTTAAAACCCTTTCACAAGTTCTATTTACTTTAAAGTAATTTATTTATCATGGACGGTTTTACCGCCTACTGCTTTAAGTTTTGATTTATGTGAATGGTGCTGAATTAAAGCCCTTGTCACAAGCTTTATTTACTTAAATGCAATTTATTCATTATGGCTGAAATTACCGCCTATTGCTTTAATTTATTTATTGTACTTCTTTTGTTACGATGAGTACATACTGGACCCGAAGTTCCTTGATCAGATCAGAACCTGCAGTTTCTTGATCCTCATCAAATAAAAATGATTGGACCTGAAGTTCCATCAAACAAAAAGATCGGATATAAAGTCCCTTGATCCTCAAGATTAGGACATAAAGTTCCTTGATAAGTATCTTAAGTTTGAAGTGCCGCAGTGCCTCAACTTAATTGCAATAAAAAAAGCCATAAGAGTCTCGGTCTGTAAGACTATTAAATAAGGACCAGAAGTTCCTTATGTCCATACTCAAAAATGGTTTAGCAGAAGTATTTATTAAGCGGATGAAATTAATTACCCGCGTTCTGCTGATGAAAATAAAATTGCCAGTTTTTACATGGGTACATGTCATTTTACATGATGCATTATTGATTTGGTTGAGACCTGTTGACAACCATCAATACTTCTCAGTAGAACTCGTGTTTGGGAACCAGCCAAACATTATATATTTACGAGTTTTTGGTTGTGTTATCTATGTGCTTATTGCACTGCCACAACATACTGAAATGAAGCATCATTGCGGATTAGGCATTGATGTTAAACATCATCTATCATTCAATATTTAAAACCCTTGACTGGGGATACATTTACCGCGTGGTTTGCGGACTGTCATTTTGATAAGACAGTTTTCCTGCCGTTAGGGGGAGAAAATAACTTTGTTTCAGAAGAACGATGAGCAAATATCATTCCAGAAGAATGATGAGAAAAAACCGTTCCAGAAGAACGAAGAGAATTTGTCGTATTTTGATTCATGAAGCAATCAATATACAAAACAAAGTGAGAATAATTGAATGATGCAACGATATGCAAATCAAATGCCAAATGCATTTAATGATGCAACGAAAATGATAAAATCACATATACTTGCTGCAAGTGTGCCTACAAGAATTAATGTCCCTATTGAACAAAATAATATGGCAGCAAATGATTTATCTGTTGCACGCCTGAAGCGTGGCAGATCCTCAGACTCAAAAGGTTCAGTCCTTCGAAAGAAGAAGAATATGGCACTACTGAACTATTGCATAACTGTCACATGCCAAATGCATAACAGTTGCCGCAAGGATACTTGTCCCGAAAAGGTTAATCCGCGGATATGGGAATATTGATGTCTCATGCATGAAGCATGATAGACGTATAAGTTCCAATGACTTAACTCCCGAAGTGGAGATTAAAAATCCAAGCTCTATAACGCTCAAGAGGAGGTTATGATCTGTATTCTCTAAATTATAACTATCCTGGAAGAGATAGTGTAATGCCCTTGAAGAGGCAATGGATATCCCAAAAGAAATGAAAAGCTTTTATGCATGTGCATGCACATGAGAATATGGGATCACATATTGATGATAACCAATGGTAATTTTGGTTCTTACAAGTAGCTACTAAATTCATCAATGAGCTGTGGTGATATTGAGTCCCGTTCTTTTTCCATCAACAAAATTATGGGCTAAAAATGGATAAAGGCAAATCCATTACAATTTTGTAAGAACGTGGAAAAATAGACCTATATACTTGGATACAATACAAATAGCCAAAGGATGTTACATATGGGCATTTGTAATACTGTGAAATACATTCACATGATATGACACAAGGTTGTAAAGGAGTTCATATGAATGGAGAATTATATACAAAGGGTTATGAGTCGCCCACATCATATCTCCATGAGTAAATCCCTCAAATATACATGGAAGCGAATTGCTCTGTATAAATTCTAAAGGAAAATGTGTCATGAAATGTAGAAAATCCCTGAAGGATTCAAATTGCTTGAAGAAAACCCCATAAGGGTAAAGCATAAAATATGTACTCAATACCAATGGATGGTATAAATTGCCTTAGTGAGTATTTTCATTATGGTATTGTTGCAACATACTAAAATCTCTTGCAAGAGTTGATGATATTAAATTGGGACTCCTGAAGAGTCAAGAAAGATTATAAAGTGTTGAGAGAAATATTGTCTCGAACTGCAGAATCGAACAATATGCCAACACGAATCTTATCCATGATATTTATGACATTAAAGAATCGTATGGATTGAAGATTATGAGTTGAATACTCAAATGATTTAGACACTAAGAATGATCATTTATCTTCGCGAGGGTAAAGATAAATTGATATTTGGTCCAGAAGTACCACATCTTAGTGAAATATATGCTTTATTGTATTTAACACAATACACTGAATGAAATAAAGCTTATATATTAATATCTCCGAGAAATTACATACACATGAGTTAAAACAAACAAACAGAAGGGAACCTTCACAAAGGTTACTCATGTGAAGCCTCAGTACTCGGAAGTACCCTAGAAGGGAAAAACACCAGAAGTTGATTATTTGGAGTCTCAATACTTGGTGGAACTCCAGACAGCTAAGACAATGGATGTCTTTGGAATAAAGACTCGAACCCCCGATTGTCATTTTGAGTCCGACCTTCGGATTCCAGTAGCTGGTCGAGCTTT